ATTTTATTGACTTTTCGGAAATCTTTTAAATTTCTCATAAAAAAAATTTAATTTTAAAAAACAAACGACATCACGACATAGAAAAACAGTTCTCTATTTTTTGAAACCAACTCGAAAACTCTAGCTTGAAAAATGACTGAGATATCTTGGAAGTACGAAACGCTGTAATCTACAATGGTTGATATATACTTTTTGATGCAACCTCGTACAGAGTTGTACGACGTCTTATTTTGGTTGGAAAAGTCTGCTCTACAAGCCTAACTATTCAGAAAAAAGTTCAGTTGCATAAATATCTCGAGAAGAAATATTATTTGAGGCTGAGTGTGTGTGTGTGTGTGTGTGAAGTTAGTGTATTAAGGAATACGTTTTCCAGAAGTTTACTGAATACGAGAAAAGCTTTTATAATTTTACAAAAAAAATTGCAAAAGTTCTTAACTTTCCAAAAAAAAAAATACAGACAAGTTTCTCCACGGTCACCCTGTACAGACATTGGTGAGAAACGATTCCAGGATGCCTCAGGATAGATACAGGAGATAAAATCTTGCCAGGTCTCGTAGAAAAAATACTTGCGTACTGCCCTGTAATAATTTTTCCTGGCAGACACCCTTTCTTTTCTCCAGGATAAAATCGTACAGACCCTGCAGGGTTTGTGTAGTGAGATATCTTTTGTGTTACAAATGATGACAGGGAAGAAAAATTCTGCAGGATATGCAAAAGGAAGAATCTGCGAAATATATCCGAGGAACGCATGTAAAAGTTCTTGCATGGTGTGCCTAGAAAGAATCCTTCAAGATCCTGCAGAAAAGAAATTCAAAAGGTGAACGTATTAAAGAAACCTGCACGATTATGCTCACCAACTTGCAGAAAAATTTTCGGCAAGGTAACATGATGCGAAAACTTGCAGGATATATCTAACATTCACAGGATTTTTGAAGATTCCTGCGTATTTGTAAATTTTTTTTCAGTGGGTGACCAAAGATTCAAAAACTCGCTCCTGTTAACAATGTGATTTTCTTAAAATGGTGTATTAAATATTTGCTAGACGCTAACGGTTAACAAGCAAAAATATTAAACATATATACTTGGAATAAGTTATTTTTGGGAAAATGAATGTCCCCGAAGGGATCAGCCAAACAACGGTTAGAGTGAAAAAGTTTCGCTTTTTATCTGGGCGTCCTAGATGGATGATCCCAAATTCAATTAGACCGATGTCAAATATAATCAAGAAATAATAGGTTTCTTCTAGATATTGACAAAGTATGTAATCAATCTTGTTGGATAAACTTTTTAGTACACTACAAAGTGAATCTAATTCAGAATGAGATTTTTCGTGTAAAATATTACATGTTGGTATAAAATAGTTTGGAATTGTTTTTTTTTTCGTAGAACGGGATGGCAAATTTTAGTAAGTCTAATATAGAGTCTTTCGTGGTCGTCAAGCAAGTTTCTTTTTCATTATCCATACCTTCACAGTATCGTAAAAATAATGTTTTTAATTGATATGATTTGAATACTGTTATATCATTTATACAACATAGATATTTAATTAAAAATTTTAGTAAACCATATGTCATTTTATGTTTCTTACTAATTGTATTTAATAATTCTAATTCGGCACATGTAAATGATATTCTCCATTCATCTTCATCATATCCAGTTGGAACTAAATGACAACCATTAGCTTTTATTTTCTCTTTCAAAGCATATGATGGCCAACCATTTTTACTTATTCGTTCTATCCAATTTTGTGCACTCTCCGGCCAAGCTTTGCATTCTAATGCAAATACTTGATCAGAACTAATATGAAAAGATATATCATAGTCACTTCTTGCAGTGAATGATGGACCAGTTCTATTGTTTTTATTTATAGGCACAACATCAATTTTTAGTTTGTATTTCTCCATTTGTTCTTGCATAAACTAAATATTTTTCAAGCGAACTAATTGTTCATTGAAAACATGAACATACCCATCATGAGCAGCCGGTTTAAACGTTAAAACTTGTTGATTGTTTTGAAAAATATCCTTCATATTCCTAACGACTAAATAGTTCTTATCAACAATTAGATGATCTGCATCCACAGTTAGAGTTGATTCTCTGTTATTTCCTATAATCACTAATGGAATACATAATTCTTCTTCAAAACTACCACAACGAATAATGGTCAAATTTGGATATTTCAATAATGATTCTGTGAATTTTTTTGTAATTTCAAAAAGCCAACCACCACTATTACCATCATAAATATTTCGAATTACACAGAGACTCCGCCGAGTTACACATGCATAAAAATGCAACATTTCCACAAGATTTTCAAACATTTTTGAAAAAATAAATTTTAACCAAAGCAAACAGATTTTTCTAATCACAATAACTAAACCGAACGTTAGTGTACAAAACATTCAAGGTACTCAAGAATAAATACATTTTTTTTGCTATTCTTGTTTAGCTCCGTCAAGGGTGACGGAATAAGAGTGTACACTACGGATAATTTTCAGTTAGTTTTGGCAATATAAACACTTTTTTTGTCGATGAAGTTGAAATAAAAGTGTAACATGATAATATAATTCAAAAGTGGAGAATCAATTTTTATAAAATTAAATCCCCTTCATCCTCACTCAATTACTTTTTTTTTTCTTTTTTTTTTTTTTGTGTTTTTATTGTTTGGATGTGCATCCTACACCGCTTGTCGGTAAGGGTATATTCTTCTTCTTTCTTCACTCAATTGCTCATCTGAACGAGTATGCGCAAGTTATGGCTATTGTCTAGAAACTGTTTTAAAATTCCGAACATGCAGAGACAAGAAGAGCAAACGACCACATAATGTCTCAAGTCAAAGCAAGTTCCAAGCCTCTTGCACGTCTCTAGTGTTGTGAGAAAATAGTTTTTAGAGTTCAAGAACAGGGACTACTAAGGCATATTGAGTGACGATAAATCAACCAAAACATTTCAACACAGTCGGAAATAACTATAAAATCTGGTGCTATGCTTTTGTGTCTTGTTTCTGATAGTCAGTGCTAAAATACTCGTTGAAAATTCAACCATGTGAGAAACTTATCATAATCTAGACAAGATCTTCGCCAATCTTATTCTGATATCATAAGATTTGGCTTGAACTTTTTTTAAATCTTCAACACCAGATTTTTCTAACAAATGATAAGATTTTAGTAGGATTTTATTCACCTTTCTCCTCCGACTAATTTTCATATATTTTTGGTACTAAGTTCAAAAGCATTATACTGTATAGTAGTTGATGTAAGTTTTATTCTGTCAAAATACAAGCGGAAAAACATTTCATTATAGGATTCTAAACTAAAACTATCGAAAAACACAGAATCAATTTTATACGAATAGAGATTCGCACACCAATTTAGTTTTGCAGTAAAATGCAAAACTAAATCTATTGTTCTGTGTTTATATTCTGTTCAAGAATTGAAGTTGTGCAATCGGTTCGATTTTATCAGTAGTAATTTGTTTGAAATGTTTTTTTTGTTCAGTTTTTAACAGTACTTTAGTATCAGTAAGCTGCACGCCATTTAAAGAAGTAACACGATTTTTATTTTGAAACATTTATACATGATTGGATAGTGCTCACCGAGTTGAACTAGAATATATGTGTTTTGATCTTTGAAAGTGCTTCTGCACAGTGAGATTACTCCGAGTATAACACTAGCAAAATTAAAGGTGATATTGATGATGAAATAGCTAAAAGATAGCGCGCTATCTTTTAGCTATTTACTATAGAGGTCTGTGTTGTGGGAACTGTCCGCCTTTCCATCAGGGCCGGCACTCCTCGCACAGATCTTGACCAGTTCTCCGTACGGTTTCAGCACGTGCCTAAAGTACAAAGTTCATCATTGAGAA